GGGATAATCGGGATGGGAGTGTCAGAGACAGTGCGATTGGCACAGGACAGAACAGAGTATAGGGCTGTTGTACATAGGGTCACTATGAGTCTCAAGCGACTCGATGGCATGTAACAACAACAACATGGACAATATATTTAATGACTAAGAAAGTGTCAAAAGTTGGAGAGAATACACAGTCATTGTATTAATAACAACTGACTCACACTGAAAAATTTCAGAAAGTACCGTATAAGCAGGAGCCAATGGTAATGAATAAGGAAATGGAAGCTGCATTGAAGGCATTGGCAAAAAAATAAGGACCCAGAAATCAATGGGATACCAGTTGGCTGGTTTACAAATGCAGCCCTCTTTCTGCTCACTGGTCTATGCTAGGAAATTTGTTGGGCAATTCTCTGGTGAACTGATTGAAAAAGGCCCATATTTGTTCCCAAGAAAGGTCATCCAACAGAATGTGGAAACTGTCGAACAATATCATTGATATCACATGCAAGCAAAATACTCCTGTACATAGATAGGAAATTTCCAGAAGTTCAAGAAGAATTTAGAAGAGACTCTAGCACCAGGCATGTCCTTACTAATGTCAGGTGGATCCTGTTTCCTAGTCCATCTTAATCTGGGAGCTCTACTAAAACCTTTCCACTGTGGGTAGCCCTTGTGTCATTTGACATACCAGTAGCATAGCTTTTATATCACAGTAACTCACAAGCTATTTCAGTACAACAAGCTGACAGACAAGTGCTGTACCAATCAGAATAATGTTCTCCCCAAATACAACAAACTGACAATTTTGTTTGAGCAAATCAGTCTTTCAGCCCACAGCTGACTGTTAATTAAATCAGAAAGATCTACTAGCCTACAACTGACTGTTAATCAAATAAAGGAGACTTACCTCCCAAATCCCAGCTGCTTCAAACAAGAAGCTCTCAGGCCCCAACCAACTTTCAATCACAAAAGCCCACTGCTCACCAGGCCCTTATTGGTTTAAAAAAGAGGCTCCCGGCCGAACTTGACCCTTAATTAAATCACAAAGACCTTTCAGCCCACAGCTTCCACTTTGTCAATTTGGATGCCTCATATTTCCTTCTTTTGCCTATTGTTCTAACTAGAACTTTCAATAAAATATTGAATAGTGGTGATAGCAGGCATCATTGCCCAGTCCCTATTGCCAAGAAGAATGCCTTTAACCCTTTAACCTCTCTCCATTTAAAGTGAGGTTGGCTGTTGGCTTTGTATAATGCTCCTCCTTATGATGAGGAAATTCCTCTCTTTTGTTGATTGTTCTATTTTGTTGATTGTTCTAATAAAGAATAGGTGTTGAATTTTGTCATGCTTTTTTCTATCAAGTGAGATGATCATGTTGATTTGTATCCTTTCTTTTATTGTTGTGATGAATTAGTTACTGTTTTTCTTATGTTGAACCCTCCTTGCATACCTGATATGAATCTCACTTGATCATAGTGAATTATTTTGATATGATGCTAGATTCTATTGGCTAGGATTTTGTTGAGGAGTTTTGCATGGATGTTCATAGTGAATTATTTTTTTTATATGATGTTAGATTCTTTTCACTAAGTTGTTTTTGAGAGTTTTTGCATCTTTGTCCGTGAGAGATATTGGTCTGTAGTTTTCATTTTTAAAGTTATCGTTACCTGATTTTGGAATTGTGATTATGCTTGTTTCATAGAATGAATCTGAGAGTGTTCCACCTTTTTCTATCTTCAGAAACAAGTAAAATTTATGACAATCCTCTGAACGTTTGGTAGAATTTACCAGTGAAGCCATGTTTTCAAGATTATTTGATGACAGTTGAATGCTTACAATATGTTGTTTAGCATACGGGTTTATTTACAGATTAGAAGATGTATCTTTAACTGATATGTGTTTTAAAAAAGAATATATTTTATGCACATTTATTCTCTAATGTATGTACTTTTGTGAGAAGAAAGACTAGAAGGCAATGCATAAGATGTTGCTTAGTTGTTTCTCCTAAGTTTTCAGGCAATCTCCAGTGGGCAAGTTTTACTTTAAAAGCCAATAAATTTCTGTTTTCAAATTAGTTAACTTTCTTTTAAAATAATTTTTTAAGAAAACTAATTGGATAGTGAAGAGATTGAGATTGTACACAGCTTTAGTTTGCTTGGCTCCATAGTCAACAGTCTTGGCACCAGCAGCCAGGAAATTAAAAGGTGC